ATTGATTCCTCTCCCCTCTTCACCATCCAATCTCTTTTTTTTTTAGACACAAGGGTATAATGGGATTTTAAACTTAAAAATCTCTTAATTCAAAAGTAATTGATTATTTTTCTTAATTCTTCGTGCACAACTGTAAAATGCCAAATAAATTAGAACAGAGGGAGTAGCACTAAGGGTTGAGTTTATTAGATACAAGTATTATCCTATCGATCCTGTATAAAGTTTTATTAGATCAATATTCAAAAGAATTTGATGTTTTAAAATATATTAAACTGATATATGAGGTACAATTTTAAGATTTATTAAAAAAAACTAATCTTAATTGAAATATATACAATCTCATAAAAAAATGATAATTTGATCTGTTGTTAATAATACAAATATTACATAATTACGTGAATTAAATGGTTGAAAAAGTGATTTTATCATTAATAAAAAATGACCTTAATTACATCATAATTTTATTGTTATGTTACTTACGCTACGTACGTCAGCTTGTATTTTATTTTTGTATAAAATAAAATTTTAAATTAAAACAAACGCTCTTTTTTTATTCTTCGTCAATTTAGTCGTTTATGTTTGATAAAAAAATAAAATAATAATAATAATAATAATAAAAGATGCCCATCACGCCCCTGTCAAAGGCTGTTGGCTTCGCCAACAGATTTTCCATCACTTATTCAAGTGGTTTTGTTAATTGTTATTGGAAAGTTAAGGAATTCATTCATTGCTAAGTTGAAAATTTCCATTTGAATTTTGTTGGAAGAATGAAATATAGGACAACCAACCAACCAACTTTTAATTATAGGCATGTGTAATTTTCCAAACTTCATGATTTAGTAATCGCACTCTAAAATTTTCCATTTTCATAAGCTACGGTTCTCATCATATTTTAATACAAATAATCAAATAGGGGGTGGCTATTAAAAAAAAAATCTTTCTAATTTCTATAAGGTTCTGAATAAATTAGAATTTAATTAATTCTAAAAATGAATACAATTAATTTTAAATAAATTTACTACTCTTTTTACGTATAATCTAAATTAATAGTATTTATTTATCATAAATTATGTTTAAATTATGTGTAAGGAAGTCAAGATAAAATTAAGGTCAATCTGTTAGTGGCCTCCCCACAACAAAATTAAGTCTTCAAAAGTGATTTCATTTTTCTTTGATCAAATAAATGCAACTGTCCTACTTGATCCCACGTAGTAGAAAAGTGGTGAGATAGTGTGGAACAACTCAGTCCAACTAACCTAAAATTATTTTTAATTAATTTTGTCATTTAAATGATTTTTCCAACAGTAATATAATTAATATAGTTCTTAGTTATTAAGTGATATAAAAAAATCAAAATAATAAAAATTTTAACAATATTAATAAGAGTATAATTTTAATAATCAATTAATAAAATTAAAATTAATTTTTTTATTTTTACATAATTTAATAAACAATATATTAATTACCACTTAATTTATGGTCTAAATTAAAAAAACCTTACTTTTTTAAAGAAGAATCTTCTAATCAATTTTTTCTCCTCGGGCCACTTTTCAAGGGTCAACTTTTGTTGGCTTTTTTTGAGGAACCCACAGATACAGTAAAAATCGCGTTATAGTCCGTTGACTTTGTTCGTTGACTTGAGTCAACGACTGTATCGTGGTTTTCCGGTATCACGTGGGTTCCTCAAAAAAGGCCGAAAAAACGTTGGGCACTTGGGCCTTGAAAACGAAAGTGCTCCCTGAGGAGAAAGTGATTAGGGATGACAATCGTCCGTTGTTGACTTGAGTCAACGACTGTATCGTGGTTTTTCCGGTATCACGTGGGTTCCTTAAAAAAGGCCGAAAAAACGTTGGGCACTTGGGCCTTGAAAACGAAAGTGCTCCCTGAGGAGAAAGTGATTAGGGATGACAATCGTCCCCACGGGGACGGGGACGGGGACGGGGGCTTCCTTCTCATTTTCATCCTTGTTAATAATGAGTACGGGGATCCATAGGCATTTTTTTTGGAGGGTTAAAAATAGTTTTTGTCTCTATACTCGTAGAGAATGATAGGTCCTGTGGCTATTTGGAGTGCCTACCAAATAAAACTATCATTTATTTTGATTCTCTAAATCATAAGCACCAAAGCACAAAAACTGTAGCTAATTGATACCTGGACGTTGGAGTTTGAAAGCTTGAGAATTGAAGGTAAAGCTGCAGAGGAAGAAGGACAACCTAAGCTGAAGGCGAGTGGTGACCCATGAGTGGAGTGGAGGCAACTTAGGCAATAGCTAGCCACTATCGATTTCAAGGGAAGTGACGGCACAGTGAGAGCTTGAAGGTGAGGACTGAGGAGGATGACCCAACCTTGGAGCTGGAGGTGAGTGGTGAGCGATGAGCATTGCAGTGGTTGCACAGTACAATGGGTAGTGACGACACAATGAGATCTTGATCTTGAAGGGAATCATAGATGGGATGAGGAGTTGAGGATAGAGGATTGAGCAAATAGAAGCATTGTTGTGGTTGCACAGCGCAATGGGTAGTGATGGCACGGTGAGATCTTGATCTTGAAGGGAATCACAGATGAGTTGAGGACAAAAGATTGAGCAAACAGAAAAAGTTATAGTGCAAAACGACAAAAGAGACTGGAGACTGGAGACTGGAGACTGGAGACTGGAGACTGGAGACTGGAGGACCAAGGAATCATAAGCGGCAAGCAAATCTGAAATCTTTGGCTTTGGATAGTCCTTCTAGGGTTATCAATTTAATTGGGCTGGGCAATTAGGAGGTTTAAGAAGATTGGATTCACAAAAAGAATGGGCTGGGAAAGACAATTTGGGTTTGGAAAATTGAAAAAAGAATGGGTTGTGAAATTTAGATTGTATTGATATTGGGTTAGCTAATTAAAATGGTAAATAAAAATTAATGGCTAATATATTTATAAAATATATAATAAATTTTTATATTTTTTTTTTATTTTATACAGTTCCCACAATTTTGATGGAGGAAATTTTTCGTGAAATTTTACAAGAAAAAAAGTGCTTTCATCCCCGTCCCATGAAGAGGAATATTCTTGAAATTTTCATCATCGTAACGAAAATCTCAACGAAGTTTTGAGGATCGCGAAGGAAATTGCCATCCCCAAAATTAATTAGAAGATTCTTCTTTAGAAAGGTATGATTCTTTTAATTTACATAACCAGAGTAATTAATATATTTTTTTAATTAACTTATACAAAAATAATGTAATTTTATTAAATTAAAGTAGTAGTTAATATATTTTTTATTAAATGATATAAAAAATAGTCGACAAACAAAGTCGTTACGTATCCTTTGCACCGATCTCCAAAAAAAGAAAAAAAGGGAAGTTACTTTTCCTTCGTAAAATTTGTAAATTGGGAAGAAGAAATCCTTACCAAACTACGCACATGATTTTTTCATTTATTGGTAAGGGTAGCTTTAAGTGCAATTTTCTTCGTTTGCTAGACTTGTTTATTAATAGTACTTTAATTGCTAAATTAGAAACTGATTATGGGCTACTCCTTGGACTTGAAGGGCTTGGACGACTTGAGAGCCTGATTCAACCCCTGGAGGGATCCACAAGCTGCTGCAACTGAAACCAGTAGGCAAACAAAGTTCAGAATCTGGAGTCCAACCCAACTTTTTGACGCCCGTTTGATTTTCTTCTGAGCAATGTACATTTCCACAGGGAAGTACACGGTCATGGGCCAGAACCCAATTGCCTCAAGGAGAGCAAGGATGTCATTGAAGAAAGGCAATGCCATTTCAAGAACTGTTGCCATCACCACAAATAATGTTCTCCATACCAGCCTCAATAAGCTGAAACTGAGCTTTCTCCTGCCAATGTTTTACTGGGTATTCTTTTGTTATGAGATTCGATTCAGGCCACGGCGAGTACAGCCGTGCTTCAACTACACTGAATAGCGGTTGAGCTAATACTTGACATTGGAAATTTTGATTTAATTTCAGAATTTTCACTTGGGAAAAAAATTGATTGGAAATGGAATAATTCAAGACTATCGAGAACGGTTCAATATATCCACAAGTTTAAATTGTCAGGTGAGAATTCAAGAATGTTAGTAGTTTGATGTGTGCTACCTGATATGTTCCAACTAGGTGCACCACAATGAAGACATTGGCCAAGTCTACCAGCCAGAACGGTTCATAGAATCCAAACCCCGTGAGGAAGTTACCGGGCGCATGGTCACCAAAAGCAGCATAACCCAGACAACTGCAAAACAAGTATAGAGTTGTTGCTGTAGACATACCTATTGTGTTAGCTTTCTTCATTGTTTGATTTTCTGGTGGTGAAGACTTCAACGTATCCTGGAATATCACAGGAAAATCTCCTTATAAACGTTCAATTAAATCTAAAGTATGGCATGATTTGTATCCATTTATTATGATCATTGGCTTTTCTTACTTGGATTTCAATCAAAACGGTAGAATATGCAAAAGCAAATGCCATGTCTCCAACTGCCCTGAGCATCGTCCATACTTTTTCTGCAGCATTCAAGCCCAACCCAACTTCAATTCCCGTTAATGAAGTTCTTTCACCTGTTGCTGTTAAAAACAAAGTCATTGTACAATATATTTGATTACTTGAACCGTTGAACAAGAAGTGGCTTGGGAATTACATCGAACATATTGACTGCGTTAAACCTCACCTACATAAGGGATAAGATGAGATTATAAGAATGCAATTACCCTCCTTTGGTTGGTCAGCTATTTTGAACGTTGAATCGTGAAAGGGTGTACCGCAGTGGACGCTGTGTTGGTAATTTAGTATTACTATTGCCAACCATTGTATTATATTCTGATAATATCTCCATCCTCAAATGAGTTTAATAGCATAACATGTACCTATATGGTTTAGAATGTCAATTGACTATAAATTTTAGAAATATATACCCCAATTTTAAATATTAACTTTAAATCTCTTCTCTTTTAAATTTATATTAGTATATTAAGATTATTATTTTAAAGTGTTGATATTAAAACTTTAATATTGAATCTGACTTACTATAAAATAACATTTATTATCAGTGAAATTGTTCTTATCCAAACATGAAAATAATCTACCAATGGAAAACTTCCTGCATTGGTTTTCCAACTTTTTTGCTATTGGGATAATTTCATCTCCGAACTTTATTTTGAGACACAATGGCTTTTACCATTTAACCTCCTTGACGATAGCTCTTGAGTACAAACAAAGATGAGATGAGTGAATGAGTCGAGAAGCTGGAAGCTACGTTAATGAGCTTGAACTCGACTGGCGAGTTTAAGTAAAATTGAATTACTTGTTTAGTTTTTGGAAAAATATTAATAACATAACTTATAAATTAAATGTAGTATATGAATAACAATTATTATTTTTTACTAAACTTGAGTTTGAGTTTTATTATTGCATGCTCAGGCTCAATCGGGTTTAGTCAAACTTAATTCAAAATTTAGTTTAGTAACTTATGAATAGTTCAATTTATTTATGGTATTACTTTCAATGGTCCTTTTATTATGGTTCACATTAAGTTAGGATAAAAATATAATAAAATTAATTGTGCGATAAAATTGAATCATTTTTTTTTCAAGAAATAGCCCACCAACCCACTTTCTCTATAATTCACATCATATTAAAATCTTGTCTTGGGAACTCTTTGGGCATATTTTAATGTGGAAAGGATTTTTTTTTTTTAATAATTTTGACATTATTTATAGGTATATATGAAAGAGGAGAAAATGAACTCCGAGGTGAAATGGATTATTTTTTACTCAAATTAAATAAATTAAAATTGAGAAATTTTAATAGAAAACTAATAATAATACGTTGAAATTGAATGCCTAAATTTTCCTTTTACATCATCAAATAATCTAGAAATATTTATTTCTTAAAAAATAGTATAAATACGTATCTGTTATTTATCCTTTAATTTAATATAAAATTATTAACATTAAGATTTAGATATACCTTACTTCTTAAAATGGTTTCTTAAATTTAGTTTAATTTAATTTGACAAAGAAATAACCATCATATCAGCCAAACATGACCTGGGAAATAGGAATTACCCTCCATTTTCTCCGCTATCAGAGGGTCTAGCATGAACTCGTTGGGTGCCACGTCTCACTTCCTATTGTGATTTAAGGTTTACAGTTGCACCTGACAGAAAGACCATTAAATTCAAGGACATTACTAGCAAGGCTACCAAGGACTGTACTGTCTTAAAATAAAGGTGAAACATGAAACTGTCCATGTCAAAAAATTAGGGGACTGACATAAGAATTACAACCCCTTAAAAAAACAAATTATATTCATCTAAAACCGCAGAATTTAGAACTAAAGACAGCTTGTTTCCCGAACGCTCCCTTGGCACGCAGAAACAGTTTCTTCCCTCCTGTTTCTCGCGCTTTTCCTGCCTGTATGCTAATTCGTTTACTTGTCGTCAACTTTTCTCTTCAATTTTTGTGTTTCCTTTTCTAGGATCGGTGGCTGTTTCGTTTCTCTGCTAAATATTTGGGTTTTGATCTGTTACTATTCGTGATTGCCGAATCGTTTTTCCAAAAAAAAAAAAAAAAAGGACTTTGGAATTGATCTGTATGTTCGTCTGATTTCACTATCGATTTGTGTTCTAATCTGAATTTCGTCGGTGCGAATCGAGTTATTTGTACGTTTCTTCTTAATGTTTTGGTCGAATTGATTTCCTCCTTTTAAGATTTGCTTGGATTTGTACGGATTGTTGCTTGAAGTCAAGCTTGTTCCTTTTTTAACAGTCTTTTTGGGGTTTTATCGTGTTGTGACGCAATGGTGGTTGGTTCTTGGACTCCGATTGGGTCGCCGCCGCCATCACAATCCTCGAAGAAGTACGGAATCACACAACCGATATCTCTTGCTGGTCCAACCGACGTTGATATCCAGCGCAATACTGAATTGGAGAAGGTTGTTTTTTCGGAGAAAGTGTTTTTTTTTTCCCCTCTAGTTGAATGTTTTGCTCATTTTTATGTCATGAATTTTGTCATATTGGCAGCTTCTGGTGGATTTGGGGCTTTACGAAAGCAAAGAAGAAGCTGCCAAAAGAGAAGAAGTTCTTGGTCGTATCAGTCTGGTAATTATTGCCTGATAGGTTGCAGTTTTTGGTTTGTTATTTCTGTGCATGCTTGGCAGGAGAGAGAGTCTATAGATTTGCAGCTGAGAAGAGGGCTCTGGTAGAATGAGTAGAACATGAAGGATTGAATGAGGTCTTGAAATTAACTTGAGCTTTCAATTGACTAAGCTAGAAACATAATCTCTTTTTCCTTTCCCAACTAGGAAGAAGTAAAGATGGTTAGATGTGGTGGCATTTTCCCTACCTGGTGCTTTCCATTCTTGGTTGACGACTAGGTTAATCACCCTACGTTTGGGTGACTACTTTAACTTTTTGAAAATCTCTGAGTGTGAGCCTTGAAAAATTCAGGATTTTAGCTTGATCTTTCCCTTGTTTTGCAATAGTCTTATCAAAAGCCTCAAGGACTTCTCTTGGCTAGGATAAAGTAGGATAGTCTAAATCTTGAAAGTTTGTACATTAATTAAATTTTGAGAATAAATATACTTGGGAATGAAAATAATTGAAGACAAGTAATAAAGTCTGGAGAAGGCCACGGCCCTAGGCCTAGCAAGGAAAATTCTCCTCTTTTGTGAACTCTGTTATTATGTTGACTTCAAACTTAATTTTTCTCTCCCAGGTAACTTCATTTATGTATCCCATCTTTTATTGATCTAATGGATATTGTTGTAGAACAGTAGCAGTCTAGCTGTTTTAATGGGTTTCTAGTTGTGTCTTTCAACTTTCAAGGGTTTGTATAGTTATTTCATATTTTTGGGTGCCGAAGCTTCTCTCCAAAGTTAGTTTTCTCTCCTTGTAGATCGTGAAAGATTGGGTCAAACAATTAACTCGTCAAAGGGGCTACTCAGATCAAATGGTGGAGGAAGCAAATGCCATTATTTTTACCTTTGGGTCTTATTGCCTTGGGGTAAGTATCAAGTCGGCATGCTTGTTTACTGGGAAGTCAGGCACTTTCATGGGGAAGTTTTGCACACCTGCTATGAGTTATCATTTCTTTGTTTGGCATAAATTTTCCATTTCACTTCCCTGGTCAAAGCCAAGAAGTTTTCCCTGGTCATTGAAGTGGAATGAGGGGCAAAACCCCTAGAAAAACAACTTGCTACATCGCCAAAACGCAAATGAAAAATAGGTTATCTGACACCATTTCCCAAGCAAAACTTCCCAACCACTTTCCAAGACAACTTTCGAAGGGGTAGAAGCTTTGCCAGCATGAAATGACCACTAAGAGCAATTTGCTCTTGCGTTGTTTTGACTCTACATGTTGTGTCTTGGCAATTTTGGGAGTAATAAACTACTTCTTTGACAGGTACATGGACCTGGGGCTGACATAGACACTTTGTGTGTTGGACCTTCTTATGTGAATCAAGAGGTGCTTCAGGAATAGCTGGCAAATCGTTTACTTTTCAATAAATCTGAGTGCTTTTGGTTTCAGTTCAACTAATACTTGTTTGAGTTTATTTGCCCAGGATTTCTTCATTATTTTGCATAATACTCTGGCTGAAATGGAAGAAGTTACTGAACTTCAACCAGTTCCAGATGCTCATGTCCCAGTTATGAAATTTAAGTTCCAGGGAATATCAATTGATCTTCTTTATGCAAGTATATCCCTTTTGGTTGTTCCTGATGTAAGTCTGAAATGCATTAATTTATTATTATTTGAACCTAGCAATCTTATTCACCTGCATGCTTACGCCTTCTTACACTTGAGGTAGAGAATGATTTCATTTAATTTACAACTTTTTTAGTACAGTATCTCGAAGACAAGTGAAAGTAAATGTTATCACCTCTTCTGAATTCACCTCCCCCCCCCCCCCCCATAAATTTATTTTCAGCTAAAACTTGTAAAATTTTTGGGTTTCTATTCTGCACGGCTTTAATAGAGGTGCAGGATGCCTTTTTTTTAATCAGAAAAGATACAGGAAGCCATTATTTACTACTAGTATTGTATAAGGAAAAACAAGACTGGTCTTCTAATGAAAAACAGACTGAAGTAATTGTGTTAGGGTTTCTGGGCTCTATACTGCTATTATCCTGCAACTGGGCTCAGTGGTTCAAAATGAGTTTGTCCAATAGCTGGAGGGATCTTAGTGCATTTTACGGTTTTGTGGCTAAGTTGTCTTTACTGTTTATGGGACCATGTTCTGTTTGATACCATCATCTTTTGGAAATTTTTGACAGGACTTTGACATCTCTCATGGGTCTGTGCTGTATAATATTGATGAACAAACTGTTCGAAGTCTTAATGGGTGCAGGGTTGCAGATCAAATCCTTAAACTTGTTCCAAATGTTGAGGTGAAAATTTAACATGCCTGGCTCTCTATTTTATTTTATTTTATTTTTTTCATTCTTTTTTTAATTTTGTATATATAAAACAGTCTTTTATTCCTTTGCATAACTGTAGCATTTCCGGACAACACTCAGATGTTTGAAGTTTTGGGCTAAAAGGCGTGGCATATATTCAAATGTAAGATGGGCATCTTGATGGGTTTTTCTTCTTTGTTGGCCTTTTCTTTTTCAGATTGTTCATCTCTGCTTTCTTTCTTTGTAGGTAACTGGATTCTTAGGAGGTGTTAATTGGGCTCTCTTGGTAGCACGTGTCTGCCAGCTCTATCCCAACGCAATCCCCAGTATGCTGGTTTCTCGATTTTTCAGAGTATATACACTGTGGCAGTGGCCAAACCCTGTGATGCTGTGTCCCATAGATGCAGATGAACTTGGTTTAACTGAATGGGATCCTCGGAAGAATCCTCGTGACCGGTTGCATCATATGCCTATAATAACTCCTGCATACCCATGTATGAATTCTAGCTATAATGTTTCTTTAAGCACTCTTCGTGTTATGATGGAACAGTTCAAATGTGGTAACAGGATATGTCAGGTGAGAATGCCTGGTAGTTTTATTTGCTATTCCCCCCGCAATTGAGCAATGACACGCAACCTTTGTAATTCTGTCCTCTTGCAGGAGATTGAGCTGAACAAAGCACAGTGGAGTGCTTTATTTGAGCCATATTTTTTCTTTGAGGCATACAAAAACTATCTACAAGTTGACATGGTTGCATCAGATGCTGATGATTTGCTGATATGGAAAGGCTGGGTGGAGTCACGGCTTAGACAGCTTACTTTGAAGGTAAAAGCTTTTCCTTCCAAACTCCTTTGCTGCAGGAGTTTTCTGCTTATGTAAAACATCATGCTGATGTTTGTGAGATAATGCTAACTGTTGCTAGTGTTTTCCTCCTTCTTTATGCTTTCCATGTGTAACTCTGCAGATAGAGCGGGATACAAATGGAATGTTGCATTGTCATCCCTATCCAAACGAGTATGCAGATACATCTAAGCAGTTCCCACATTGTGCTTTCTTTATGGGTTTGCAGAGGAAAGAGGGACTGAGTGGTCAGGAAGGTCAACAATTTGATATACGTGGAACAGTTGAAGAGTTCAGGCAAGAGATACATGCATACACGTTCTGGAAACCAGGAATGGAAATTTTCGTTTCCCATGTTTGGAGGAAGCAGCTTCCTGCCTTTGTTTTTCCTGATGGGTATAAACGGTCTCGATCATCTAGGCCTCTAAGCCAGCAGGCTGGAAGAATCTCTGAAGATTTTTCAGAGTCTCAGCCTGGTTCTGCAGAGAGACAAATTAAGAGAAAGCGTGATGACAGATTAGAAGATCCTAAACCAGAGAAGTGAGTCTCTCTGGGGGCTAATTCTCCAGAATGTAGTACTAATGGGTGTGGTGGAAGATCTCATACTAGCTTTGGTGAAGCAACTAAACTAGATGGCTCAATGAGTGGGGATGTTGGTGGCAATTCCATGGTTGGGTCGTTAACCAAGCAGGTAGACAATGGAAAGAGAACTTTGTAGATTACCAACCAACAGAGAAAAACTTTTGAGTGCAAACCTGTCACCTCAAACGAGAGGACTTCTTTAGATGTATATGATTTTTCATTGGTTAGGAATGATGTGGCCTTGGCTGAACAGGCTGTTGAAACCATTCCAAGACATGAGCTTCTTGCTTCATGTGAAGTTCCGAATTCTGAAGTCCAAGAAACATGCAAGAGTGGACTGAATCAGGATAAAATTGTGGATTTTGCGTCGTCTTACAGGGGAAGCTTAAACTGGAAAGAGACTCTTGTGGAGGTTGATCAAGAGGTAGTCAAACCTTACAATCAGACAGCTGTGGTAGAAATTGCTGAAAGTGTATTTGGGTCAACTTCCAATTCTCGGAACCTCAATTGTGAGGTGAGTTTCTCTGTTTGAGGATTTTGGGTTAAAAGATTTGTACCAGATGGCAGTGAGAATTCTGGAAGTTTGAGATTGTGAGAGTCAGGGATCTTTGCAGGGTGGCATCTGCAGTGCAGATTTGGATTCACTTCTGGAAAATGGACATCTCAATGCAAGTGGTGTATTTCAAAATAATATGACCAAAGAATTGGAGGTTTGAAGTCCAACCTCTGAACTCATGCTGATTAATATTTTCTAAATTTCTGCTTCTCATACTGTTGGGTTTTCCTTTGTCTTGTTAGTGCCTTCTTTCCTGTATTGTGTCACTGTTGATGGGATAAATTCTTTATATATATATTTCTGGCACTTCAAAGGGTCAGGACTCAACATTTAATGGGGTAATGGAGTGAGATCTTGGAATCAAATTACTTTGAGCATGTTGTGACTTTCTCCCCCTTTTACTTTTTCCCTGATAATTTTTCACATCTTTCATGGAATCAGTGCAACCTTTTGTAACTTAATCTTCCTTGATTTTTTAATACGCTAATATGGTTTGCACAGTCAATCTCCTAACTGGTGCATATGTGGCGACAGGTCTTGCACCACCATACGTGCTATGTTTCCAGTAACTGTGCTTAAGAACGTGACTCTATTTTGTGTCTGAGGCTCAGATACTTGACCCTCCCTCTTATTTTCTTTTGATTTGTTTGTTGTTCAGAACCTAACTTTTCTTGTAACTTTTGTTGTATAGCCAAATATTGCACTTGGGAAGGTTGTAAAATCTCAAGATCAAGTGAGGTCAGAAACTTTGCAAAAGCCAGTGATAAGGCATGTGTTTTTGAAACCTCCATTTTGTATATACAAATTATGATCTCTTTATGCTGTTTGTTCGGTTTGTGTGATTCCTTTTAGCAGGTTGAGTTTGAAGTCAACAACCTAATGTTTGGAAGATGATGCATGCGGTAAAATTGTCCTTTTGGAATGAGTGCTAGACAGTACCATGGTAAGTGCCACATTAATTGCTGGCTTTCACTATGGTTTTACAGGTATACTCCAGAGTGAGTTGGTAGGACATGTGCAGAGCTCTGCAGACACAAGAAGCTAATGAATTATATCTGTTCTGTGAAGGCACTTCCCATCTCATTTGTCCTATTTGTGCTGTTGTGGTACATTTCTTGGCTTTGTTTTATTGATGAGAATGAATCATTTAGTGGCAAGATGTTTGGTTCATGTGAGATTCAGATCCTAAAGCCATTCTTTTAGATCTTTGTACATTTTTTCCTGTAATACAGTTCCTTAGTTGCCTTATTGCTATCTACTACTGTTTTCCTCTTATTCTTTCTCTTACCTGCTCTTGCTGGATTCAAAAAACTTCTGAAACATAAACGGTAGGAAACCATGCGATCTCTCTTTCATCGGGTCAAGTAGGCAACTATTATGTGCTGTGGGGCATCAGACGCAATTGACCGCCAGGTAGTCATCTTCCCCTGATTCTTTTGTACTCTGCTTGTAACTATAAGTAGAGCTGCAAGGAACGGGAGCATCATCAACTTCTCTTTCTGTTTTGTTTCCTTCATAGCTTCTTCCCTGCGGACCATGATGTTGAAGACAATGCAAAACTTCCTTCATGGAAGGCCTGGAAGATGGTAAATTGCTTGTACATATAAGCCCCAGCTTGTACACTGAAGTCATTTCCTCCAAGTGAGAAGGTTCGTAGACCTCCGGATCAAATATTTCAACCTCAGGCCTTCCCTCAGGGTAATGCTGCCATGCCCATTCTGCAAGGCTCGTGTGCTCATCTCCACATTTGGCTTCTCTTCCCGTCACCAATTCCAGAAGTACCACTCCGAAGCTGTACACATCAATTTTTTCGTTCACCCTTCTAGTGTACGCGTATTCTGCGGTACATAAAACAGGTAAGCAAATAGATCCACTACAGAACATCCATAAAACTTTCTATTGATCATACCTGGGGCCAGATAACCAAAAGATCCTGCAATTGCAGACATGGTGTGAGGCTCTCCCTGTCTAGTTAGCATTTTCGCAAGTCCAAAATCTGCAATTCTTGCCTTGAATTCCGAGTCTAACAAAATGTTGCTAGACTTGACATCACGATGAATGATGGGTGGACGGTAGTCATGGTGCATGTAGCAAAGCCCCTGAGCCGCTCCAATTGCAATTTGCATTCTTGTTGGCGAGTCCAGTACAACGTGGTGCACTGAATTCATCCTGAGGCTCGTTGATCGTTTCTTCTTCGCATGTAGCCACCGATCCAGGCTCTGGTTCTCCATGTACTCATACACCAGATGCTTCGAATTCTCATTCGAAATGCAGCACAACAGCTTTTGTGTCTAATATTGTTAAAATTCTCAACACCGGGGGCACGTGCATATCTAAGTCGTCCCCTATACTTGTCTCTAAACGTCACTTTTTTTTGGGGTGACGTGAGTGACGTTGAAGAAAAAGCAAAACTTCCTTCATGGAAGGTCTGGAAGATGGTAAAGTGCTTGTACATATAAGCCCCAGCTTGTACACAAGGGTCATTTCCTCCAAGTGACAAGGGTCGTTGATCTCCGGATCAAATATTTCAACCTCAGGCCTTCCCTCAGTGTAATGTCGCCATGCCCATTGTGCAAGGTTAGTGTGCTCATCTCCACAGTTGGCTTCTCTTCCGGTTACCAATTCCAGAAGCACCACTCCAAAGCTATAGACATCAAATTTTTCATTCACCTTTGTAGTATATGCGTATTCTGCAATATATAGATCAAGTAAGCAAATAGATTTCACTACAAAACTTCCATAGAACTCTCTATTGATCTTACCTGGGGCAAAATAACCAAAAGTTCCAGCAACTGCGGACATGGTGTGAGGTTCTCCCTGCCTAGTTAGCATCTTTGCAAGTCCAAAATCAGCAATTCTTGCCTTGAATTCCGAGTCTAACAAGATGTTGCTAGATTTAACATCACGATGAATAATGGGTGGACAGCAGTCATGGTGCATGTAGCAAAGCCCCTGAGCCGCTCCAATTGCAATTCGCATTCTTGTTGGCCAGTCCAGTACGATGTGGTAAATTGAATTCGTCCCGATCGTAGTGGATCTTTTCTTCTTCCCATGTAGCCACCTATCCAGGCTCTGGTTCTCCATGAACTCGTATACCAGAAGCTTCGAATTCTCACTGGAAATGCAGCATAACAGCTTCACTATGTTGGCATGGCGAATACTGCCCAAAATTTCAACTTCTGCTATGAACTCTTTCTTCAACTTACCATCCAGTTTCTTGTTATTCCAAATTCTCTTCACAGCTACAAAACCACCTGACTCATTAATAGCAATCTTGTACACTTTTCCAGACCCACCACTTCCTATTAAATTACTCTCCGTCAACCTGGACACGATATTCTCTTCTGTGAAATCCAATCTATGGAACGAGGTTAGCTTCCATGTTGCAAGATCACCTCCTCGTTTTTTACTTCGGTAGTCTATCATCACGAACAGGATCAATGAAACAGTAACTATGACGATGAAAACCGCAAGAGACAGAATCAAAGGAAGATATTTAGAGGTGAGTTTTCTGGGTTTGGAGCTGCAGTCTGGAAGATTTAGGATTGGAGTATCTGCACAGAGATTGGAATTGTTCAAGAAACTGTTTTCGTAAGCAAGGTTGTCAAACTCATCTGGGATTTGCCCGTAAAGCTTGTTGGATGATAAGTTCAGTGATGTGAGCCTCAGGTTCGCAAGGTTATCAGGGATTTTTCCAGAAAACTGGTTTTCTGATAAATCCAGGTTGAGGAGGTCGGGCAAAGACCCAATTGCTGCCGGGATTTGACCGGAAAGTTTGTTTCCGGATAGATCCAAGGTATTCAACGATTTCCAGGAGGCTATATCCGATGGTAATTCACCGGAGAGTTGATTTCCATCTAGGTGGAGAGTAATTAGGCCAGAAAGATACGTTATTTCCTCAGGGATTTTGCCAGAAAAGAGATTGTTACTTGCCTCGAAGACTGTCAAACTTGACCAAGAACCGATTCCGACAGGGATATTTCCGGAGAATTTGTTTTTGCTGATTTTCACCATGGACAGATTCCGTCCTAGTTGGCTCGGTAATTCCCCCGAAAATGAATTGTTACTCAGTAACAAAACTGATAAATCGAAAGTCGTCCAGAGACCTGGAGGAATCTCGCCTGAAAACTGGTTGTTGTAAAGCTGAACAGTCCGGAGAGTGCTGCAATTTCCGAGCGAGGCCGGTATATGTCCGCTGAGATTGTTTGAAAACGCAACCACTCCCAGTAGAACACGGTAGGCACATAAATTCTCTGGTAGTTGACCGGTGAATTGATTGTCGCAGACCTCAAAATATTCAAGCTTTGAGTGGAGGCCTAATTCTGGCGGTAAGACTCCACTCAATTTGTTTGCGAAAATTCGAAATACCTTCAGAACTGGAAGTTGATCCATGCCGGCTGGTATTTCCCCTGTTAACTGATTCGACATCAGATTAAAGAAAACAAGATTTTGCATCATCCCAAATTCTCCTGGTATCGTTCCCGTCAAATTATTCCTGCAAAGATCAATTTCAACCAAGTTCAAAGCTTCGACGGGTCTGGGTATCTTACCGGAGAGTTCATTGTTGAAGAGATACAAGTTAGTCAGATTCTTCAACATGAGAAGCCTGCTAGGGATCGGACCTTCCAGATTGTTCTTCGACATATCGAACCATTCTAGGCTCGAGAGGTTGGCGAATCCTTCTGGAATTTTGCCGATTAAATTCGTCGCTGTCATCCATAAGTACTTCAATTTCTTCAATTGAGTAAACATATCAGGTATGTTCATCTGCACAAACCCATTATAGGCCATCCATAGAAGCTCAAGTTTGGATAGGTTGCCGATTTCCTTCGGAAAAGTACCGTTGAACTCATTATATTGCAAACGGAGTTCTTTCAAAGCCCGTAATCCTCCGATGCTTGGAGGAATATTCCCGGAGAAGTTGTTGTCACTGAGGTCTAAGTAAACCAGAGTAGATAACTGGTAAATGTCACCGGGAACTGAGCCGATGAAGTAGTTCAGGGAGAGGTTTAAGTGCTGGAGCTTCGAGCAATTGTAGAGCAAAGTTGGGAAATGACCGGGAATAAAATTGTCGGACAAATCAAGGAATGTGAGGTTCTTGAGTTTGCAGATTGATGGTGGGATTTCGGAAGTGATGTTCATATCCTGGAGCGAAACGCTGGTGACTGAACCATCAGTGCATTTGATTCCCGGCCAAGAACAAGGTGAAGAAGAGACGTTCCATAACTGGATGGCTGGCGGGTTGCCCAACTGCTGCTTAAGGTTGAGAAGAACAGTTCGCTCTGTTTCTATGGTTTCTGAAATTACATTGAAGGGTATGGAGATGAGGAACAAAAGGAGGAGGACTTCTGGAAACGGTTGGGGAAGTTTGGACATTTTGGATGTTTCAGGTTGTTATTTTGGTTGGGAAATTTGCCGGGAAATTTGAAAAGGGAAAATAGAATCGGCTCTTAGCAAACGAATCTCCTGATCTACAGGTTCTTATAGAGGAACCCTCCGCCCCCCCCTCTCCCTAAAAGCCCTCCAATTATTTGTTTTTAAGACTATTAGCCTCTCACAATATATTTTGTATATTTTAACTTTTAAACCTCAGATCACGTGAGTCACGTGACCATCATTATTCCATTTTCTTATCCTTGTCAATACCATGTTAGGATAAATATGATCCATCGGATTCATAAAAGTGAAAAAATCTCACTTAAAGTATACATGAATTTCATTTTAAATGAAATTTTTTTTATTTTCATAAATTTAAGTAAATCATATTTATACTAGTATAGCATTGATAAGGATAGGGTAATGGAGTAGAATCCTATATATTTTAGACTAATTAAAATAATAACATAAAATTTATAAATTAAAATACATAAAATATATGTTAAGAGCTAATAGTCTCAAATATAAACAATTGAAGGTCTTAGAGGGGTTAAGCCGTTCTTATTTTTGGAGAAATTCTGATACTATCTGACATGGTACCCACGTCCAATGAAAACATTACTACTCACTAAAATTAGACACTTCATCCTACACAACAATACATATGACGTAATGAGAATTTATTGTAACAAAAAACTAACGAAGTATTTCAATTTTTATATTTTTTTTATATAAGTTAATTACATGGTATCTGTGTGCAACTAGTACTCCGTTTAATTACGAACGTGCCGATGACGACAGCAATGACAACAGCAAGTCAACTTAAAAGAGTTCCCAGTCTACGCGCATGCATTTATTAATTGATATAATTAATACTTTTTGTTATTTTCAAATGGGTCCTAAGTCCTAGCAACTCGACAATAACTAGTGCTAAGACCAGGGAGTCAGGGTCAGGGACGGGGCAAATGAAGGACAAGGGCGGGCAGCGGCCCCTCTGAACTTTTGAAATGCATTTAATATGGTA